CTTATGTAACTATATAACTATATAACTATGTAACTATATAACTATATAACTATGTAACGATGTAACTATGTAACTATATAACTATGTAACTATATAACTATGTAACTATATAACTATGTAACAAATATAACTATGTAACTATATAACTATGTAACAATATAACTATGTAACTATATAACTATGTAACAATATAACTATGTAACTATATAACTATGTAACTATATAACTATGTAACTATATAACTATATAACTATGTAACTATATAACTATGTAACTATATAACTATGTAACTATAACTATGTAACTGTATAACGATTTATAACTATGTAACTATGTAACTTTAGAACTATGTAACGATATAACTATGTACCTTTATAACTATATAACTATATAAAATATAACTATGTAACTATATAACGATATAACTATATAACTATGTAACTATGTAACTATGTAACAATATAATTATGTAACTCTATCATTACGCACCATTATAGGGCCGTGATTTATGGTTTACTCTAAAGCCGTTGAGCTGTAAAGACGTTTAAATGGTGAAGCTGTGAAGCTCGCAATCAGCTGAGTAAAAGTAAGTGCACCCCGGCTACCCAGAAGTGAAGTGCAACCAAAACATCTTTGCCCATACGTCTCCTATAAATGAACCAAAGCCAATCGCCTTCTGGATTTATTCTCCGAGTGAAGAGGACGGCCGCGGTCCTGCTACACATACGGAATTATATAGGGAGAGTTCTTCCCGTAACAATTCCTGCAGGAAACAAAGTTGTCCGCTAAATTGCTTGCGAGTCTAATGGCGTTCACACTTCCCCCGCCGAAGGTAATACATCAAAATCAGCCGTAATATTACTTTTCTAAATGGCAATTATTTTAATATTTCCTTTCAAGATCCTAATGCCAATTATATCGAAAGGGAGAAAAATAAATTGCAGAAGGGCTATTTTCTCAATCTCAAATACAAAACGCTGTAAAGAAACATTTTCTGTTCCGTGAGTTATATGACAGCCAGGAGGGAATTCTTAATTATCGCAAGTGAATTGTAAAAAACTCTGCTTTTTGGTTTCTTTTGATCCCAATCAAAAGCTCATGAAAGCGAGAGTAATACCGCGTCGTTTTATAGATTGTTTTAAAGATAGACAAAGCACGTCGCTTTCATCCTGGAGGTAAGTTGTAGAGGGGGATGGGAAAACAACTTTTATTAATAGCCTTCCTTATATACAATACAGTGTATACAGTGTGTGTGTATATATATATATACTGTACAGAGCTATATACAGGAGACCGAAGAGCCAGCAGGAGATTCACACATTATATATAACAATCAGCACATGAAGCAGATCTTATAGGTCACTGGGAACCCCCACTAATTATTACTATCAGTACATTCACATGAGCCGCAAATTAAGATGGAAGAATAAATTAAAAAAAGAACAAGGAATATTGTCCTTATTATTATTCCAATCTCTGTAACATTTCTTGTCACTAAGATTAACGGAATAAACAAGAATAAAGTTCAGGAAAAAATACAAACAGAAAATTGTAATGTAGGTTACATTGGGGGTCAGTGGGAAGAATGTCCCTTACATTGGGGGTCAGTGGGAAGAATGTCCCTTACATTGGGGGTCAGTGGGAAGAATGTCCCTTACATTGGGGGTCAGTGGGAAGAATGTCCCTTACATTGGTGGTCAGTGGGAAGAATGTCCCTTACATTGGGGGTCAGTGGGAAGAATGTCCCTTACATTGGGGGTCAGTGGGAAGAATGTCCCTTACATTGGTGGTCAGTGGGAAGAATGTCCCTTACATTGGGGGTCAGTGGGAAGAATGTCCCTTACATTGGAGGTCAGTGGGAAGAATGTCCCTTACATTGGGGGTCAGTGGAAGAATGTCCCTTACATTGGGGGTCAGTGGGAAGAATGTCCCTTACATTGGTGATCAGTGGGAAGAATGTCCCTTACATTGGGGGGTCAGTGGGAAGAATGTCCCTTACATTGGGGGTCAGTGGGAAGAATGTCCCTTACATTGGTGGTCAGCGGGAAGAATGTCCCTTACATTGGTGGTCAGTGGGAAGAATGTCCCTTACATTGGGGGTCAGTGGGAAGAATGTCCCTTACATTGGTGGTCAGTGGGAAGAATGTCCCTTACATTGGGGGTCAGTGGGAAGAATGTCCCTTACATTGGGGGTCAGTGGGAAGAATGTCCCTTACATTGGGGGTCAGTGGGAAGAATGTCCCTTACATTGGTGATCAGTGGGAAGAATGTCCCTTACATTGGGGGTCAGTAGGAAGAATGTCCCTTACATTGGTGATCAGTGGGAAGAATGTCCCTTACATTGGGGGTCAGTGGGTAGAATGTCCCTTACATACATGGGGGTCAGTGGGAAGAATGTCCCTTACATTGGTGATCAGTGGGAAGAATGTCCCTTACATTGGGGGTCAGTGGGAAGAATGTCCCTTACATTGGTGATCAGTGGGAAGAACGTCCCTTACATTGGGGATCAGTGGGAAGAATGTCCCTTACATTGGGGATCAGTGGGGAGAATGTCTCTTACATTGGTGATCAGTGGGGAGAATGTCCCTTACATTGGGGGTCAGTGGGAAGAATGTCCCTTACATTGGAGGTCAGTGGGAAGAATGTCCCTTACATTGGGGGTCACTGGGAAGAATGTCCCTTACATTGGGGGTCAGTGGGAAGAATGTCCCTTACATTGGTGATGAGTGGGAAGAATGTCCCTTACATTGGGGGTCAGTGGGAAGAATGTCCCTTACATTGGTGATGAGTGGGAAGAATGTCCTTACATTGGGTGGTCAGTGGGCAGAATGTCCCTAACATTGGGGGTCAGTGGGAAGAATGTCCCTTACATTGGGGGTCAGTGGGAAGAATGTCCCTTACATTGGTGATCAGTGGGAAGAACGTCCCTTACATTGGTGATCAGTGGGAAGAATGTCCCTTACATTGGTGATCAGTGGGAAGAAGAAGAAGAAGATGAGGATGAAGAAGAAGAAGAAGAAGAGGATGAGGATGAGGATGAAGAAGAAGAAGAAGAAGAAGAGGATGAGGATGAAGAAGAAGAGGATGAGGATGAAGAAGAGGATTGGATGAAGAAGAAGAAGAAGAAGAATGTCCCTTACATTGGGGGTCAGTGGGAAGAATGTCCCTTACATTGGGGGCAGTGGGAAGAATGTCCCTTACATTGGGGGTCAGTGGGAAGAATGTCCCTTACATTGGGGGGCAGTGGGAAGAATGTCCCTTACATTGGTGGTCAGTGGGAAGAATGTCCCTTACATTGGTGATCAGTGGGGAAGAATGTCCCTTACATTGGGGGGTCAGTGGGAAGAATGTCCCTTACATTGGAGGTCAGTGGGAAGAATGTCCCTTACATTGGGGGTCAGTGGGTAGAATGTCCCTTACATTGGGGGTCAGTGGTAAGAATGTCCCTTACATTGGTGATCAGTGGGAAGAATGTCCCTTACATTGGTGATCAGTGGGAAGAATGTCCCTTACATTGGGGATCAGTGGGAAGAATGTCCCTTACATTGGGGATCAGTGGGAAGAATGTCCTCTTACATTGGTGATCAGTGGGGAGAATGTCTCTTACATTGGTGGTCAGTGGGAAGAATGTCCCTTACATTGAGGGTCAGTGGGAAGAATGTCCCTTACATTGGGGGTCAGTGGGAAGAATGTCCCTTACATTGGGGGACAGTGGGAAGAATGTCCCTTACATTGAGGATCAGTGGGAAGAATGTCCCTTACATTGGAGGTCAGTGGGAAAGAATGTCCCTTACATTGGGGGTCAGTGGGTAGAATGTCCCTTACATTGGGGGTCAGTGGTAAGAATGTCCCTTACATTGGTGATCAGTGGGAAGAATGTCCCTTACATTGGTGATCAGTGGGAAGAATGTCCCTTACATTGGGGATCAGTGGGAAGAATGTCCCTTACATTGGGGATCAGTGGGGAGAATGTCTCTTACATTGGTGATCAGTGGGAAGAATGTCTCTTACATTGGTGGTCAGTGGGAAGAATGTCCCTTACATTGGGGGTCAGTGGGAAGAATGTCCCTTACATTGGGGGTCAGTGGGAAGAATGTCCCTTACATTGGGGGACAGTGGGAAGAATGTCCCTTACATTGGGATCAGTGGGAAGAATTTCCCTTACATTGGGGGTCAGTAGGAAGAATGTCCCTTACATTGGGGGTCAGTGGGAAGAATGTCCCTTACATGGGGGTCAGTGGGAAGAATGTCCCTTACATTGGGGGTCAGTGGGAAGAATGTCCCTTACATTGGGGGTCAGTGGGAAGAATGTCCCTTACATTGGTGATCAGTGGGAAGAATGTCCCTTACATTGGGGGTCAGTGGGAAGAATGTCTCTTACATTGGGGATCAGTGGGAAGAATGTCCCTTACATTGGGGGTCAGTGGGAAGAATGTCCCTTACATTGGGGGTCAGTGGGAAGAATGCCCCTTACATTGGGGATCAGTAAGGGAAGAATGTCCCTTACATTGGGGGTCAGTGGGAAGAATGCCCCTTACATTGGGGATCAGTGGGAAGAATGTCCCTTACATTGGGGGTCAGTAGGAAGAATGTCCCTTACATTGGGGGTCAGTGGGAAGAATGTCCCTTACATTGGGGTCAGTGGGAAGAATGTCCCTTACATTGGGGGTCAGTGGGAAGAATGTCCTTACATTGGGGATCAGTGGGAAGAATGTCCCTTACATTGGGGGTCAGTGGAAAGAATGTCCCTTACATTGGGGGTCAGTGGGAAGAATGTCCCTTACATTGGGGATCAGTGGGAAGAATGTCCCTTACATTTGGGGTCAGTGGGAAGAATGTCCCTTACATTGGAGGTCAGTGGGAAGAATGTCCCTTACATTGGGGGTCAGTGGGAAGAATGTCCCTTACATTGGGGGTCAGTGGGAAGAATGACCCTTACATTGGTGGTCAGTGGGAAGAATGTCCCTTACATTGGGGGTCAGTGGGAAGAATGTCCCTTACATTGGGGATCAGTGGGAAGAATGTCCCTTACATTGGGGGTCAGTGGGAGGAATGTCCCTTACATTGGGGGTCAGTGGGGAAGAATGTCCCTTACATTGGGGGTCAGTGGGAAGAATGTCCCTTACATTGGAGGTCAGTGGGAAGAATGTCCCTTACATTGGGGGTCACTGGGAAGAATGTCCCTTACATTGGGGGTCAGTGGGAAGAATGTCCCTTACATTGGTGATGAGTGGGAAGAATGTCCCTTACATTGGGGGTCAGTGGGAAGAATGTCCCTTACATTAATGGTCAGTGGGAAGAATGTCCCTTACATTGGTGATCAGTGGGAAGAATGTCCCTTACATTGGGGGTCAGTGGGAAGAATGTCCCTTACATTGGAGGTCAGTGGGAAGAATGTCCCTTACATTGGGGGTCAGTGGGGGTAGAATGTCCCTTACATTGGGGGTCAGTGGGAAGAATGACCCTTACATTGGTGATCAGTGGGAAGAATGTCCCTTACATTGGGGATCAGTGGGGAGAATGTCTCTTACATTGGTGATCAGTGGGAAGAATGTCCCTTACATTGGGGGTCAGTGGGAAGAATGTCCCTTACATTGGGGTCAGTGGGGAGAATGTCTCTTACATTGGGGATCAGTGGGGAAGAATGTCCCTTACATTGGTGGTCAGTGGGAAGAATGTCCCTTACATTGAGGGTCAGTGGGAAGAATGTCCCTTACATTGGGGGTCAGTGGGAAGAATGTCCCTTACATTGGGGGTCAGTGGGAAGAATGTCCCTTACATTGGGTGATGAGTGTGGGAAGAATGTCCCTTACATTGGGGGTCAGTGGGAAGAATGTCCCTTACATTGGTGATGAGTGGGAAGAATGTCCCTTACATTGGGGGTCAGTGGGAAGAATGTCCCTTACATTGGGGATCAGTGGGAAGAATGTCCCTTACATTGGGGGTCAGTGGGAAGAATGTCCCTTACATTGGTGGTCAGTGTGAGGGTGGAAGTGTAGGAGGTTGGGTGCCACTACAGGAGGTTAGGGGGCACTGTTGGGCATATTTAGAGGTTGGGAGAATTATGGGGGGTGCTGGGGGCTCTGAAGTAGACTGGGGGCATTGTAGGAGGTTGGATTTCATTGTGGGAAGTTTGGAGGCATATTGTGGCACCATTTCAGCTTGGAAGCAGATTGGGGGAACTGTAGTTGGTTTGATGTCCCTGTGGAAGGTTGGGGGGCACTGTGGAGCACCATTGAAGGTTGGGAGTATTATGGGGGGTGCTGGGGGCTCTGACGCAGACTGGGGGCACTGTAGGAGGTTGGATTTCACTGTGTGAGGTGGGGGGGGGGGGGGGGCACTGTGGGACACCTTTGGAGTTTGGGGGCATTGTGGGGGTTAGAGGTTTTCAATCAGACTGGGGTTCTGTGTGAGGTTGGATTTCATTGTGGTAAGATTGGAGGCATGTTGGGGCTCCATTTCAGGTTTGGAGGATTATGGGCGATAAAAGCTGGGAGCACTGTAGAAAGTTGGATGTCATTGTGGGAGGTTAGGGGGAACTGTAGAGCACTATTGAAGGTTGATAGTATTAAGGGGGCGCTATAGGCTCTGGTAGCAGACGGGGAGCACTGTAGGAAGTTGGGTATCACTGTGGAAGGTTGGGGGGCACTGTGGAGCACCATTGAAGGTTGGGAGTATTATGGGGGCTATAGGCTCTGAAGCAGATGGGGAGCACTGTAGGAAGTTGGGTGTCATTGTGGGAGGTTGGGGGGAACTGTAGAGCACCATTGAAGGTTGGGAGTATTATGGGGGGCTATAGGCTCTGAAGCAGACGGGGAGCACTGTAGGAAGTTGGGTGTCATTGTGGGAGGTTAGGGGGAACTGTAGAGCACCATTGAAGGTTGGGGAGTATTATGGGGGGTTATAGGCTCTGAAGCAGACGGGGAGCACTGTAGGAAGTTGGGTATCACTGTGGGAGGTTGGGGGGAACTGTGGAGCACCATTGAAGGTTGGGAGTATTATGGGGGCTATAGGCTCTGAAGCAGATTGGGAGCACTGTAGGAAGTTGCGTGTCATTGTGGGAGGTTGGGGGGCACTGTGGAGCACCATTGAAGGTTGCGAGTATTATGGGGGCTATAGGCTCTGAAGCAGATGGGGAGCACTGTAGGAAGTTGGGTGTCACTGTGGGAGATAGGGGGGGCACTATGGAGTTGAAGGTTGGGAGTGATATTATAAACTCAGAGGTGTCAGGATGGGCCTGGGTGAGTTTCCCCTAAAGTCTCAAAGTTTCACTTTTTATAAGCTGATAGTAGGACTAGAGAAACGTTATTTCTGATTGGCCGTATGTATACTTCTTACTGCATTTTGCATAATTAAATAAAGTCCGACTTGTCTCATGGAAGAAGCCACTTAAACTGCACCATCATTTAATGCGACATGACTTCATATTCAAAATTGCAGCAGAACTGCTGTGTATGTGGTGTGATTATTCCTCGCGGACAATCTACACCCGTGTGACAGATTTGTATATACAGCGGCCAGTGATGCAAGTGGTGAGCTTTCCTATTATTCTGGAGGACAGTAAACATGAGTTAACAAGCAAGGTTCAGTGGGTAACTAATTGCATGAAGGACGCTTTTCTCTTTAAATTAAGGCGAGGAGTCCTGAAAGCAGAGAATCGCGGGCAGACGTTGGACTATTGGATACCAATAACGTTTTGTGCCAGAATTAGCAATAATGCAGCTAATCTTGAGTTGGCAGATGCAAAGCAACTTAAGCAGATAGTGCAAGCATGAGCACCGAGCCAGTCCGCAGGCCTCTCTGATCGAACCTGCAAGCTCCGGAGAGAAGACAGATTGTGGCAGACCTTCATGCTTGACGTTTTCAGGGAAATTAATTTGAACAAAATCCTAGCGCAAATTCATCCACGCCACAAACCCGTGCCAAGGGGTCACCAAGGTATCCAACAACAACATGTCACGTTATCGGTGTAAGCCAGGTAGCGCAGAAGGCCTGCGAAGTCTGGAGGATTTTTTTTTTCTAGGCTGTTTAGTAGACTATGAAAAAAAAGTCAGCTGTAGAACTCTTCTTTGTTGAAAGAATTGCAAATGTTGGGGGGGGGGGGGGGGGGTTCATAAGCAGTGGTTTGAGGTGGTGGTAAAAAACAGATAAAATTTAAATTCATGAGGAAATTGGAATTTTGGGGGGATGACGACAGTATGGTTGTCAGGTTGTCTGCAGGTAAAAGCACCCATTTTCTGTAGCGCTTACCCCAAAGGAGCTGCTGTTTTCTTGGGTCCACCACACTTCCTGACACACCTGTGGCTTTAAATGGGCTTTAGGCAGCACCTCACCCTCTTACACATCTTCTCTTCTCTGCTGTTGAAATCAGGCTCTTTTGGGGCTTTTTTGTTTGTACAAACTCTTCTGGCCCGCACCCTCATGCATGTCATTTGCCTAGGCGACTGAAGAGCACTTTGCCCACTGTGCCTCCCAGGATGTGGAAGTCACATATCCCAGGAGGCATTAGTTTGCATTGAGAAACGAGGAGGGGGCGGGCCTGGGGTGAGTCATTGGAAGAGGAATCGGCTGAACCCATAATAGCCGGCAGATTCCTGATGATGTCACGCATGAAGATGGCGGCACGGGACTGATCATTGGGCAGAATGGAGGAGGATCTCAGCAGGACATCACTGGATCCTGTGGGCAGGTGAGTATGTTACCTGTGCAGGACCTGCAACCAGGTAAGTAGAAGATAGAGGAAAAAGGGGGGGAGGGTGAAGGACCACTTTAATGAACCAGCAAAATCCCTGCAAGGATGAAAACAAGTGGAACAACCAACACTGATAAACTAACTCAATAGAGCACCGTCGGGGTGCTAACCGGAAGAGGAATGTGTAAAAACCTGGCACACTTTCCAATGTGGTCGCACTTGTCCGCATAGGAACGCACAAAGACATATTAGAAGAGCTCTGGGGGACACGCTCTTGGTAGTTACTGGAACCAAATGGCCTTTAATAGGATGGCAGTTATGCTCAGAGATTGCTGGTTGATATTCAGCTCCAAGCATGTTCCCGTGTGTTCCATGTCCTTGGACCTCCTCTTACCGACCTGATTTGCCTCTGGACCAGTCTTCTACTTTTCTTTTGGCTCTGACCCCAGTTTGTTCCCAAGGACTCCGCTATTGTTTACTTCTGTGTATGACCCCGGCTCGCTCCAGACTAGACTTCTGCTTACACTCCTGCCTGATTACCATGATTGACCCTGGCTCAAGTTCCTGACT